GGTGCGTGTGTCGCGAGTGCGCGTGAGAGCCTCTAACTGAATCTCAGGAGAATATTTACCCCATGTGCAAGGGGGATACGTGTCGACAATATATTGGGTGATAGCGATTACCACCTATGATAGCTCCCAACGCCCCGCACCACCTCTGACATGTGCGAGGCGTGTCAGAGTACAGACGGGCAGCTTGGGCAGCCAGCTCACCTTATCCGAGCAGCTATTAGGGCAGGTATCTCACCCCTATATAAAGGGGGTGAGCCTTTCTCTCTTAACACATTCTATTCATTCTTCACTTCAATATACTCATACACATACTGACTTAAGCATCGGAGGCTCTTCACCGGACACAACCTCCAGTGTGAGAGTTACTTGCAGGTTTCCGGCATTCTACCGGCGAGGACAAAGATCGATCCGCTCCAAACCGGACCAGGATGCTCACACTTGAATTATTGGTGCCGTCTGTGGGGACATTTCATTAAAAAGTTGTGTTTTAAGCTCAGCTATGGCGGATGGAATTCCCAAAAACTTGCAGTCAACGTTCGACGAAGCTTGGACAACGACCAGGCCGTTGGGGCAAGGCCCTCCTCCGGGTTTTTCCGGTCCAGCGCAAACACCGATCACTCCCACACCTATCCTTCAGGGTGTAGGAGTGACGACGGCGATCCCCGGAGGAGATGCCAGCTCTAGTCGGGCCCAGGAGGCTCGCGCAGCAGCCGCGGCGGCGATGCCACTGCCACCGCCACCAAATCCAACGCTGGTGCAAGGAAGAGCGATGGCGCAGGGAGGAGCGCCACACAGGCAGTTGTACAAGCCCCCGGTCAGCAAATGGTGACGATGACCCGGGAGGAGATGCAGAGGATAGCGGCGGCCGCGGCGGCAACAGGCGGTGCAGCAAGTTACGAGCCACACATCTCATGCCACCACTGCGCCGACCACGGTGGCTGGAAACCAAGATGAGGATGTGTCCATTTATGGAGAGGGAGGAGTTGGAAGAGATCGGGCGATGAAGAGGATGGCAGAGCAGTTGCGCCAGTTGCAGGACAAGGTGGAGCAGAGGCCAGAGAGGAGAGCTCGAGGACATTCCTTTTCAAGGGAGATTCTCGCCGCTCCTTTGCCGAATAATTTCAGGGAGACCAACTTGGTGTATGACGGGTCTTCTGACCCGTCGAGGCATGTGAGGACCTTAGAAAATATGGCTGTGTTACATGGATATTCTGATTCTGTTTGTTGCAGGGCGTTTCTATCGACCTTGCGCAGAGGAGCCCTTGACTGGTTTCACCAGTTGCCCTCTGGGTCGATTGCGGATTTTGAGGATTTTTCCAGCAAGCTTACCAATTAATATTCGAGCGCGGTGGCGCATGAGAAAACGTATTTGACGTTGATGGCGATGAGGCAGGGGGAGAAGGAGTCATTGAGGAAGTATGTCGCTCGATATAACCAGACGTGTTTGGAGGTGCATTCGGCTACAGATGAGGTGAAGGCGGGAGGATTGATAAGAAGCCTTCGAGCAGGGCCTTGCCGAACTTCCCTGGCAAAGACCCCTGCTCGATCTTATGAGGAGGTCTTGAAGCGGTGCAGAAAGTATATTAATTTGGAAGAAATGGAGGTAGAATTCGCGAAGTTGGGAGGGTCGGCTAGACCAGAGCCAAAGAAGGAGCAAAGCCCACCAAGAGGGAGGTCGCCGAGGAGGAGTTCGCCCAAAAGAAGTGGGTCGAAAAAGATATCACCCAGGAGGGAAGGTCGAGATTCGAAGCGAGAAAAGAGGGATGACAGGTGGCAGGGAAGGCCGTTGTTGTTCGAGAGACAGAGGTATCATAATTTTACACCCTTGAGAAAGGATTTGACGGAGGTGCTCGTGGCTATGGAGCAGAAGATGTCGAATGAGGATGTAACGTGGCCGAAGACAAGGTTCACATGCCCGACTCGGCCCAGATCGGATATATATTGTCGATTTCATCAAGATTACGGCCATACCACGGAGAACTGCAGGCATTTGAAGGATGAGATTGAAAGGTTGATTCGAGCAGGACATTTGAAGGAGTTCGTGTATCATGATAGGGTGAAAGGGAAAGGAAGGAGAAGGTGTCGGGATGATTCGGAGGAGAGAAGTGACAGGGACGAGGAAAGAGGCGATGGAGATGGTCGAGGAAAGAAGCAAAGGAGAGATGGCGATAAGGGAGGGCACGGAGGAGAAGCCCTGATGAAGAGAGGGACGATTTACATGATTTCCGGAGGGCCAACAGATGGCGACTCGAATAGGGCCAGGAAAGAGCATGCTCGAGCTGTGTAGAGGAAGAGAGAGGAGGTGGGGATCACGGCTCGCATGTCGGTGATAAGTTTTAAGGCGGAGGATGCCGAGGGAGTGGTCCTACCTCACAACGATGCTCTGGTGATAACCGCGGAGGTTGCAGGTTTTGACGTGAAAAGGGTGTTTATCGATACCGAGAGTTCGGTAGACGTGATGTTCTACGACTGTTTTGTGCAAATTAACAAGGAGTTGAATATGGAGTTGAAACTGGTGACCATGGCACTTTACGGCTTTAACGAGGGAGAGGTTATGCCGATGGGGGAGATCAGTCTGCCCGTGGCGCTGGGATCATGAGAGCTGAGGAAGGTGCGCATGGTGAGGTTTGTGGTCGTAGGAGCAGAATCATCTTATAACATCATCATGGGGTGGACGAGCTTGAATGCGTTCCAGGCGATCGTATCCACGTACCACATGACGATCAAGTATCCTGTGGGCGAAACCGTATGGGAGATTGTCGGGGACCAACTCACTTCGAGGAGCTGCTATCAAACAACAGTGAGCAATAATAAGCAGTTGGCGAGAAGACAGGCCAAGTCGAAGGAGGAGGAGATTAATCGACTGGGGGGGTCGAGGACGAAAGAGTACAAACAAAGGATGGAGAAGGGTAAGGAGAAAATGGATATCCAGCCAGGAGGAGAGGTTGAGGAGATCCAGATGATCGAAAGGTGTGAGGAGAGAAAGTTCAGAATCGGGAAGGACCTGGAGGAGCCTGTTCGGTCGAGGCTGGTCGATCTGGTCAGGGAGTTTGCTGACATTTTCGCCTATACAACAGAAGAGTTGACAGGGATAAGTGCGGAGGTGATCGAGCATCGGCTGAACATCGACTTCAGTGTGAGGCCGGTGAAGCAGAAAAGGAGGCACCATGGAGCGGAGATGGACAAAATCATTGAGAAGGAGATTGAGAAGCTATTGGGAGCAGGGCATATCAAGGAGATCCAGTTCCCCGAATGGTTGTCGAATATAATAATGGTGTCGAAGGCAGAGGGAAAATGGAGGATGTGCATTGATTTCCGTGATCTGAACAAAGCATGCCCTAAGGATTTATACCCACTACCCAGAATCAACCAGCTGGTCGACTCAACAGCGGGGTGCGAACTGCTAAGCCTGATGGATGCCTCCCAGGGATATCACCAAATTCCCTTGGCGAGAGAGGACAGGAAGCGGGTGAGTTTTGTAACGAGTCGAGGAACCTATTGTTACGTGGTCATGCCCTTCGGCCTGAAGAATGCGGGCGCCACGTATCAAAGGTTGGTCGATAAAATCTTTAAAGAGCAGCTGGGGAGGAACATGGAGGTGTATGTGGATGATTTGTTGGTGAAAAGCAAGAAGGAGTTGGATCATGTGCAGGATTTAAAAGAGACGTTCTTAACATTGCGAAGGTATGGGATGAAATTGAATCCGGCTAAGTGCTCTTTCGGGGTGAGGTCGGGAAAATTCTTGGGTTACTTGGTGACCAAGAGAGGCATTGAAGTGAATCCTGAGATGGTTCGAGCCGTGATAGAGATGAAGCCGCCGACAAATGTTAAGGAAGTGCAGATCTTAGCTGGTCGAATTACGGGCTTGAGTCGTTTCATATCGAAGGTGGCGGAGAAAAGTGGCCCATTATTCAAAACATTGAAGAAGAGTGCGAAATTTCAATGGACGGAGGAGGCGCAGAGGGCATTTGAGGAGTTGCGAGGGGTGTTAGCCAACCTTCCCCTATTGGCTAAACCTGTACAGGGCGAGGAGCTGGTGCTATACATTTCTATTGGGGAATGGGCTGTAAGTTCGGTATTATTACGGGATGAAGGGGTAGCGCAATTTCCTATCTATTATGTGAGTAGGGTGACGCAGGGGGCAGAGATGAGGTATTCGGAGATCGGGAAGTGTGCTTTGGCTGTGGTGGTAACTGCTCGAAAGTTGAGACCTTATTTCTTGAACCATAAGGTGAAGGTGCGAACAAACATGCCGCTGGGAGAAACACTTGGCCAACCATCGGTCTCTGGTCGAT